AAAAATAAAGGAATTCTCATTTGTTTTAACATGGATGAAACTGGAGGGCATTTTGCTAAGTGAAATAAGCCAGACAGAGAAAGGCAAATACTGCCTGGTATCACTTATATGTGGATTCTGAAGAAGAAGAAAGAAAGAAGAAAGAAAGAAGAAAGAAGAAAGAAAGAAGAAAGAAGAAAGAAAGAAGAAAGAAGAAAGAAAGAAGGAAGAAGAAGAAGAAGAAGAAGAAGAAAGAAGAAAGAAGAAGAAGAAGAAAGAAGAAGAAGAAGAAGAAAGAAGAAGAAGAAGGAGGAGGAGGAGGAAAAATGGTTGCTAGGGGCTGGGGGAGGGTAATGGTAAAAGGATACAACTTTAAGATGAAAAAGATCTGAGAATCTAATGTATAACATGGTGGCTATAGTTGATAACATCATACTGTATAATTAAAATTTGTTAACAAAGTAGAACTTAAGTGCTTTCCCCCCAAAAAGGGAGGGAATATATATGTGAGGTTATGGATGTGTTAAATAACTCAATGAGGGGTATTCTTTCACAATGTATACATGTATAAAATTATGTACACTTTAAATATCTTACAATTTTGTCATTTATATCTCAATAAAGCTGAAAAAATATCACACAATGTAGGACTTCACAGCAAAAATTTACCAGAAATAAAGAGGCAAAGACAAAGAAGGCCATTACATAATGATAAAAGGGTCAATTCAACAGGAAAACATAATAACCTTAAATATATATGCACTGTACAACAGAGTTGCAAAATATATGAAGGAAAAAAACCCAGAACTAAAAGGAGAAATAGACAAAGTGTTAGCAAGGAAATAGAAGTGAATAATAACATCTACCCATACAATCTACAGAACACATTAAAAAACAACAAAAGCATGCAGAATATTTTCAAGCTCACATGCTGTGCTCATTATGTTAGAATATATATTGGATCCTAAGATAAACCTTTAAAAATATTTTAATTCATACAAACTATGATTTCTGACCATAGTGGAAATAAATTGGAAGTCAATAACGGAAAGGTAACAAAAAAATATCCAAACACATGAAATTAAACAATATACTTCTAAATAATTCATGGGTCAGAGAAGAAGTCAAGATGGAAAAAAAATAAAAGTGAAATATTGATGCAAATAAAAATTTGGAGCTGAGTACTTAAAATGAAATTTGTAGCACTGAGTCCATATATTAGGAAAAGGAGAGTGGTCTCAAATCTATAATCTAAGCTCACACCTCAAGAAGCTAGGAAGAGAAAAAAATAAACACAAAAAAAGTAGAAGGAAGGAAATAATTAAAAGCTGAAATCCAGGAAATCAAAAAGAGGACAATAAAAGAGAAAATCCTACGTTGTTGTCGCTGTTGGTGTTTGTGCGGCGTGGCTTTGTGGGACCGGGACCTTAAAGATAGCCACAATGGCTGAAAATGGTGATAATGAAAAAATGGCTGCTCTCAAGGCCAAAATCTGTCATCAAATTGAGTATTATTTTGGTGACTTCAATTTGCCACGAGACAAATTTTTAAAGGAACAGATCAAACTGGATGAAGGCTGGGTGCCTTTGGAGATAATGATAAAATTCAATAGGTTAAACGGTCTAACAACAGACTTTAATGTAATAGTGGAAGCACTGAGCAAATCAAAGGCTGAACTCATGGAAATAAGTGAAGATAAAACTAAAATCAGAAGATCTCCAAGCAAACCCCTCCCTAAAGTGACAGATGAATATAAGAATGATGTAAAAAACAGATCTGTTTATATTAAAGGCTTCCCAACTGATGCAACCCTTGATGACATAAAAGAATGGTTAGAAGATAAAGGTCAAGTACTAAATATTCAGATGAGAAGAACATTACACAAAGCATTTAAGGGATCAATATTTGCTGTGTTTGATAGTATTGAATCTGCTAAGAAATTTGTTGACACCCCTGGCCAGAAGTATAAAGATACAGACCTGCTAATACTTTTCAAG